CCAGGCCAGACCCTTACTATTCTCTGAGATCTGACACAACTTTCAGTCTTATTTCCTACTCAATCTTTGTTTGTTTGCAACACTAGGGATTGAACTCAGAGCCTCCTAGCTCTATCACTTGAGTCCCAGCCCCCAATCCCTTTGTTTCTTAGTTTGTTTCTCAAAGGGAGATTCATACTACCTCTTTGCTCAGGTTGGCCTAGGACAGTGATCCTTCTACCTCTACCTACTGAGTAGCTGGGACCATAGGCATATATTACCACACCCCACTTTTTGTTTACTTTTTCAGTTCTGGGGGTTGAATCCAGGGCTGTGTGAGTGCTGAACATGGATTAGCACTAAACTGTTTCCCCCTCAACCTAGTCTATACCCCCTTTTATTATTTTTTTTCTTTTCAGGGTGTGGAAACTAGGGATTGAAAACCGGCAAGTGTTGTAGCAAGCAGTGCCAGGCCCACAGACCTTTTAGGGAAGCTCTGTTCTCCCTTCTTCTTGCCTTTGTTATTGTTGTTTTAACTCAATTAGTTCCAAGTGCAGATTTCACATAAACATCCTTATTTGGCTGTGGCAGATTCTGCTGGCTGCCTCTGGGACAACCATGCGCCCTTTTCTGGGAAGGGAACCCTGGTTTTGTGTTGGTATCTGAACAGGGAGACAAGCCCCCGCTTCTTTACCTCCTCCCTCCTTCAGGAGAAGAATCGCTATACTCCCCCTGCCTTTGCAGAGACTGGTCTAGTCAGAGCTCTGAGCCTCCGGCAACAGAAACAGTGCTATGTCATCAGGAAGTCGGTTTAGTACTGCTGGAGGCCACCTTACCAGAAGGCTAATAATAATAAGCCAGGGCTCCTGGGCACCTCACTTTTCCAGTCCTCTGCGAGGAAGGAAGGCCAGGATTGTCATCACCAAGTGTTTCCTTTTGTGCTGGAAAAGAAAACCCTCCAAGGTCCAGAATTTATTATTTCTTTATTCACTCCCAATAAATGAACACTATTGTTCTGAGTCCCTCATGTAATGAATTAAATAACCCAGATGTTTGAATTACAGACAAGGATGAAAAGCAGCTGTTATGGCAGCTATGCTCATAGTGATAAAGAAAAAAATGGAGCTGTCCCTTGGTATGGAAAAGGGGGTTGGTTCCAGGATCCTCTGTAAAGGAGCAAGATCTGAGGACACACAAGTCCTCGTGGTATTTGTATATCATCTGTGCAACCTTCTCATGTTCTTTAAGTCATCTCTATATTACTTCTGATACCTAATACAATGCCAAGGTCATATAAATAGTTGTTATACTATATTGTTTACAAAATCAGTCAAAAACGAAAACTTGAAATATCTGAAAGTAGGCTGGGAAACTGAGTTTCATTGCTTCTGATCTAGAGGAGGAAGAATTCAAGGATTGGAAATCCTTCAGAGGTAGCGAGGGTGTTTAGAGGACACCAACATCAGAAAACATGGCAGGGCTATGAAGGTGGCTCAGTGGTAGAGCGCTTGCCTTGCATGCCTGAGGCCCTGGGTTCAATTCCTCAGCACCACAGAAAAAAACTGCAAGTGATACTGTGGCTCAAGTGGTAGAGCTTTAGCTTTGAGCTGAATTGCTGAGGGATAGCGCTCAGGCCCTGAGTTCAGGCCCCACGACTGACAAAAAGAAAAGGAAATTAAGACAGAAAGAAAAAGCAAGCAAGCAAGCAAGCAAGCAAGCAAGCAAGGAAGAAAGAGAGGAAGAAAGAGAGGAAGGAAGAAAATATGGCAAATATCCAGTGAAAGAGTATCCTGATAGCAATAATAAAGAAAAGTATGAAAAGCAATGACTCTTATGCCTCATTTTTTCCTTGCTGTCTTGAACTGTGTCGCCTCAGGAAAACAATAGTAATGCTTGGAGCTCTGGCAGCCATTCTACATGGCTTGGGGAATTAATGAAAAGAGCAGTCACAGAAGCCAGAGCCCTGTCACTGCAGATTTGTTAGACACTCCATGGTACCACCTACCTCTGGGGCTTCTTGTTATATCAGATGATAAAGCATTCTTCATTGGAAATTTGCTACTTGTAGTCAAAATATATTCTAATTAAACATGTGTAGAAAATGGAAAATCTTATGATGCCAAATTTGCATTTACTATACCAAAACTGGGGTTGATGGCCACTTTAGACAGGTAGGAGCTATGTCCGAGCCTGCTTCCTCCCTGCAGGCAATTGGGTTTGCAACCCTTGTCCTGCATATTTTCCAGAGATGTCTCAACGGTTCCCCTCCCAGCTTCCTGAAGGCCAGCCCTACTCAGCCACCGTCTTTTTTTTTTTTTTTTCTTCCTTTTTTGCAGTACTGGGGTTTGAACTAGGGGCCTCATGCCTACTTTACTTACTTACTCAGCTGGTTCTTGATTACTTAAGCCATGCCTTTTAGCTTTTTGCTGGTTATTCTGGAGATAGAGTTTTGTGGACTTTCCTGTCGGGGCTGGCCTCAAACCAAAATCCTCTAGATCTCAGCCTCTGAGTAGTTAGGATCACAGGCGTAAGCCACCAGCACCCTGTTCTTCCTTTCCATCTCTAATGGTAGCTACTCCTGTCATCCCTTCCCCTTGGGCACAGCCTTCAGAGGATGGGACTGTGTCTCATTCATCCTAGTACCACCTTCTCCAGCCAACAGGGGCTTGGAGACAGGCAATACTCAATACATCTGTGCTGAACAAGTGAGTGAACACTCCCGGAACAATGGCAATGTTCTAGAATATTCCATTCTCCAAGCTTACTAGGAGCTTTACATTGGTTATGTGTGGTGCTTTTCAATGTAGGAAAAGAATTCCTTATCTGATGGTCCCTCCATCCTGTACACCTGAGAATTGTCTATCTGAGTTGCTCAGTCCCTCAGTTCCAGTCACTGCAGGAGCATTCCTATAATAGGTGACACTGATGCTGGTCCCATGCTCCAGGATCTTGACTCAGGGAATGGGCTAGCATAACATCAAGTGAGCTGAGACTATATAATCCCCTCTCCATGACAGTGAGTCATAAGGGAAGAACTGTCAGTTACCAAAAACTCCAGAGAAGGATGAGAGTTCACAAATCTCCCTTGTTCTACATCTGTGATTGATCAGGTGACTCAAAAACACACAAACATACGCACACACATATACACACATATCTTGGATACAGATGAAAGGCAGGACAAAGTTCTGCTGTCCCCAAAGACCTGCTAAGACCACCTGGGCTGAGGGACAGCCCCAAGGAACACGGCTTGCTCTTGTGTCTGTCCAGGATCTAATTTGCCCTTAGAAATGCATCCTGAGCCTGGGTGACGCTCAGCTATGGAGCAGGTGCTCAGCATGCGCAAGGCTGCTGCACCCAGACCACTTACTCATTCCTAGGTGTGTAGGGCAGCAGCAGCAGCAAGTGTGCTGTCATGAATACTGTCTTCCCAAGGTGAAGCTCCCTATATCCCTCCCCCAGACCCTGGCAGCCACCATTCCATGGTTAATATATGAATTTCACTATTTGAGGGAGCTTATGCATGTGGAATCAGATTTGCTCTGACTTATTTCACTTAGCACAAAATTCACAGGGTTCATCCATGATGCAGCATGTGTCAGAGCTCTTTCCTTTTGAGGGTTGAATCATATTCCGTCATGTGTGCATATTGTATTTTGTTTATCCATTCATCTGTCAATGAATTGATTTCTACCTTTGGTGAATAATGCTGTTATGAACGTAAGTGTGTTCAGGTCTCTGCTGCAGTTCTTTTGGAGATCTGGCTCTGATTTTTCCCAAATCAGTGAGGATATTGATCTCAGGCATGAAATTCTCTAGGCCAGGCTCTATTCCACTGGGAACAGGACAGAACCCAAGGGTGGACTCTTAGGTATTGTCCACTAGTTAGAGATGAGCTGACCAGGAGTCCTGTAGGGGGCTGTTTCATGGCCCCTGCTGACAGAGGGTGAATCAGGGGCAATATGGCAAGAGGCCAAGAGCAGGGCGGGGGAGACACATACCACTGTACGGAGGAGAAGCACTGACAAGAAGGCTTCTGTTCTCCAAAGGGCAGGCATGCTGCATAGGCGGCCCCAGGGGCCCAAAAGGGCAGTGTGGGCTTCAGGGGCAGAGGTTAGGAAAAGGAAGAGCATGTTGTAGGACTGTGCTGCTCAGAAGAGTTGGTGAGAGTGGCCCACAGGCCATCTAGAACTCTCTAATTTGATTGATGGCGCCCAATTCAGCCAGCCCCCAAGCAGAGCACAATACAGGAAGGCAGAGGGCTGAAAGCTCATGGTTTGTGCCCACAATTATGGCCCTCAGAGCTACACTTGCATGCTTCTGCCCTAGGGTGGGAAGACCCTGTCTAGACAAAGGAAGGGCCTATCTACCCATGAATCCCTCTCACCTCTGCTCTAAGCAACTTTCAAGTTGTCACATTATATTTTTTGATGTTGATCTGTTCATGCACTGAATAAGTTCAGCCACTAGGGAGAAATTAACCGCTCCTGTGGAGCTCTATGTTAAACACAACCACGTAAATGCCATGGTGAAGGTACAGACTCAAGGTTCACTCCAGACAAGACCAAAGTCAGAGATACTGATAATGTCCAATGGGCTAAGGACAGTTGTTGCTGGGGGTCAGCTTTGAGGCCCTTTCCCTTGGTGACTCCAACCCAAGGTACTACCTCATATGAGCTCTGAGGAGGACCCTGGAGGCAAGCTATCCCTTCACACTCCTTGCCAGCCTCATTCTGAACTCACCTTCCCAGACTGCTTCTAGACTGCTTGGGGATCCCAAGAGTCTGTGAGGTCAGCCTGAGTTGCCACGGTGACCTGGACCTGAGGCCAGATAGAGGTGCCAAGGAGCCTGTCAGCTCAGCTTTTTACTAACACTGGAGCCAGAGCCAAAGATGCATGGCCTGATGTCTCCACTCTGGGTGATGCCATGTCCTGCATACTAAGCTCTAGAGGGATTGAGAACCACGCTTGGTATACAGGCTTAAGAGCTGGAATGCTCCACCCTGTACCTCAGGACCTACCTGACTGACAGAAGAGCCCATCCATACTGAGATCCCAAAGGAGACCAAAAGCTTTTGAAGATGTTTCTGGAGGCCATGTTAGCAGCTAGAAAGAAAGAAAAAATATTAAATAAAGGTTCTTTCTATGGAATAATAGTAACAAACTTTATATGCATGCATGTATACAAATGAATGCATTTATGTGTATGTATTTATACATTATATATATAACATTTATATGTGTGTATATACACACACACACATATATATAGCTATTAATTAAAAATGAATTCAACCGGGGCTGGGGGTTTGGCGGAAGGGCGCCCGCCCAGCCCACGCAAGGCCCTGGGTTCAGTCCTCAGCCCTGGGAAAAAAAAAAAAAAAAGACAAAAAAGCTAAAAATGAATTCAACCATGTGGTAGAAGGGTACTGTCATGATCATCGCTTTACAAAAGAGGAATGACAGGCAGCTCTGGGGTTGCACAGCAGGAAGCACTTGAGGATTCAAGCCTAGATAGTGAGCATGACTTGAAGTCTGCTACCATTTCCTGTGGTCACAGCCATGCCCCTACCACCAGGCCAGGGGCCAGTATAGGGAAGGGAAAGGGCTTTCAGGCACTGACCAGTCAGCTGGATAACCAGTGTTGACCCCATTCATGATCCTCCCATCATTTCCAGGAAAATGCCTTAATTTACAGTCATCTGAAACCACTGGGCTAGAAGGTTCTTGGTACCTGAGCAGATTCTTGGAAAACTAGAGGGGTGGTCACCAACCCACCTCAGTTACTTTTTTTTTTTTGGGTCCGGTCATGGGGCCTGAACTCTGGGCCTGGGCGCTGTCCCTCAGCCCTTCAGCTCAAGGCTAGCACTCTACCACTTGAGCCACAGCGCCGCTTCCAGCTTTTTTCTTATGTGGTACTGAGGAATCAAACCCAGGGCCTCGAGCATGCAAGGCAAGTGCTCTACCGCTGAGCCACCTTCCCAGCCCCCTCAGTTACTTTTTAAATGCTCCTTAAGGGTTGTACCCTGGAGGGGGTATAACATGGAGATGAATAGTGGGATAGCACTTGCCCACAGTGCCAGCTAGGAATACTTGGACGAAGTCATGTCTCAGTAGCAGAGCTCCTGCCCATTGTTGGTCATGCTGAGCATTACTCACCTACTCCTGAGAATGCTGGGTAGGGGGGCAGGGACACACCTGCTTTGGGGGACTGAGCATTGTTGTGTCCCTCTCTAAGTCTGCCTTCAATAACTGGCTGATGCTGGGTTCCAAGAGTCTGGACCCCTTGCCTCAACTGGGATAACTCTAAAGTCACTGGTTCTAGTATACTTCTCCCTCCAACTGTGAGACTGCCTGGGTTGCAGCGAGTCACTGGCTGCTCGGCCTCTTACCTCTTCAGGCCCTTCCTTTTTCCTTTCCTTTCTCCTTTCTAAATGTGGTTTCTGAGAGCTCAGCCCAGTCAGTCTGCAAAGAAATCTTTGCCTCAGAGTCCATAACTCTGCCTCTTTCCTCTTTTCCTAACTTCTTGTCACTTTTTCAGAGTTTAATGTTTAAAAGTCTACCTCTTTTTGTCCAACATCCCTGGCAAGGCCCACCAGCAGGTGCACACAAAGCATCAGTGACCAGCATCGAGGCCAGAGCCTGTCCATCCAGACCCCCCAGCATGTCCACCAAAGCACCCGGGGAACAGAGTCCCAGGGGAAGGAGGAGGCACAGGACCCAATCACCATCCATGAGAACTAGGATCTCCTTTCCAGTGGCACAGCCAAGTTATCAGGGTTAGTGAGACCTCACTGTCCCAGCCCATAGCACCCAGAATAGACCTCAGGTATATATGCAGCTCCAGCAGCCCTGTGGCCTGTATACTTAGCTGCCTTTCATTGGAGCAGTCCACCTGGCCTATTTTAAGTTAAGTACATTGTCCTTTTTTGGGGATTCAGGTTTAGGAATGACACCCTGGCTATGGAGCCTAAGAAGGAGACAGAAGTGGAGAACTGTCCAAGAATCCTGGTCCTTCTGCCTTCCTGGCTCCAACTCCTTCCAAGGCCTGGCTGCATCCTTGCCTTGAGCTCCTATGAGCTACCCTGTGGCTTTGTGAGACCCCTCTCCCTGACTGGTGACTTTGAGAAGGCCCTTGGATTTCTGCTTCTCACTGGAGTGCACCTCCCAGAAAGCTTCTAAAATCAAGTGTGTCCCTCACTACTCTGGCTTCAGCAGAGGACTGAAGGAGCTTGTTTCTCCTTCCTGTAGTATAATCTGGAACCTCTGTGTTGACATCATTTCTTGAGGACCATGCCCAGGCCCTACCAAAGCCAGAGCTATAGGGGGGACCCTCAGGACAAGGCAGCTTACAGAACTTATCATTTAACCTCCACATTGGATAACTGGCTCCAGCATACAGAGATGATACTGATTTGCTCAAAGCAACAGTACTAAGTGGCAGGACCAGAGCTAGCATCTGGTCTGTCCAGCTTCAGGGCTAGGTCCCCAGCTCTTTTCCCCTGTGGGGATCTTTCCTCCCAGTCTGAAGGATGAAGGAAAAGAGACAAGGAGGACTCACCCATACCACTTAGGGTTGGGGTCTTGGAACCTTGTGGAGACAAGAGCTACCAGCAGGGCGGGTACTCCGTGCCACGCCAGGGCCACACAAGGACCCTCTGTGGGCGATGTCTTAGAGGAGCTCTTTGTGCCTCCCAATGCCTGATTGTGTGTTTTGCCGTACACTGAGCAAGGAGCAGAGCGAAGCTGCCCTGACTAGGGTGGAGAATAAAGGCCCCAGTGTTCCCTGCTCCTTATCCACTGTCCTACCAACCCCAACCCTAGGCCTGGGTGGGGGGCAAGGGCAATAGGCACACACATGGGTCCCAAAAGCCTAGCATCTTTTCTCTGGGCTAGGGCAGAATGTTGTGGATGAGCCCAGGGGGAAGCAGAGAGTTTTGGAGGGCTCTTTCTGGAAGATGGCCAGACAGCAGAGGCTGAGGAGTTCTTTGAATAATCCACCCCACATGGTAGCTCTGATTTACATCTGGGCTCCAGGCCCCAACTGGCAGCACTGGGACCAGCTGGAACTTGTGACCTGCCCATCCCCAGACAGGGACAGCCCTGGGTGAGGGCCAAGGCTAGGCTGGCATGCTGGGCCATGCATTCAGACCTAGCATTGGCTCCTGGGCTGTCTGCTTAGCTTCTCACAGTCTCTCTCAGCGCAAAGGTTTCCAGCCCTGGGAGAATGTGTGTTTCCCCCAAGGCAAAATGTTCCAGCAGCAGTCAGGAAGGAGGAAATTGGGGCAAAAGCAGCAGCTGCTCTAGGCTTTTCCAGCCCACCTACAACCACAGAGAAGGAAGCAAACACTCATATCCTACAGCACTCTCAACTCTGAATTGATGAGTTCCCAGTTGGCCACTACCAGCTGTGTCACAGAGACCACTGCGTCTCAGGGAGACATAGAGACCAAACAGGCAGGACTGTGTCTTCCTGACTTTGATGTTCCTAACATTAGAGTAAACATTGATGGTCATCAGCCTTCTTCCCCTCCTCTGGGCCTGAGTCAAGCCTCTCAGCTTGCTGACTTGCCTGGACTATTAGGCTGCACGGCTCCCGCCACCTAGTGGCAGGTCTGTGGTTCTCACCTGGAACAGCCACTGGAGCAGAGGCACTGAGCAGTCAGAGGCGTGCAGGTAGAGGTTGTTCAGGAGGCCATTGTGAAGGAAGCAGAGCTGCTGGTCTGGCCGGGAGCTGTGGGATGGAGAGGCCAGGTTAGGGCAGGGTCTATACTGGAAGCACTACAGCCGTGTGCAGTGGGACTCGGTACAACTGTCTCAGTGATACCTCAGGAGACTGTCCCATTTCAGCATTATTAGGACGCTGTGAAATAGATGAGAACAAGATGAGCATATGTAGTTTTAGAATCCTCAACATGAACTACCATCAGAAGGAAAAATACCTCAAGACATCATCAGAATTGTCTGCTTTTCCTAGTGCTTTCCGTGAACATACCTCAGGGTGTTTTGTATTTTTTGTTTTCTGTTTTTTGTTTTCGGTACCAGTCCTGGACTTGAACTTTGGGCTGTCCCTGAGCTTTTGTGCTCTACCACTTGAGCCACAGTTCCACTTCTAGCTTTTTGGTTGTTAAATGATGATAAGGGTCTCAAAGGCTTTCCTGCCTGGGCTGGCTTTGAATTGTGATCCTCAGATCAGCAGCCTCCAGAGTGGCTAGGATTACAGGAAAGAGCCACCAGTGCCCAGATCCTCATGATAGCTTTTTTGTTGTTGTTGTTGTTGGTCATGGGGCTTGAACTCTGGGCCTAAACTTAACACTGCCCCTCAGCTCTTCAGCTCAAGGCTAGTGCTCTACCACTTGAGCCACTACGCCACTTCCAGTTTTCTGAGTGATTTGTTGGAATTAAGAGTCTCATGGACTTTCCTGCCTGGGCTGGTTTTTGAACCACGATCCTCGGATCTCAGCCTCCTGAGTAGCTAGGATTACAGGTGTGAGCCACCAGTGCCTGGCTCCTTGTGATGTTTCAAATACATGACTGAACACATTGTTGCTCTTATCATTTGACAAAGGGAGAAACTAAGGCATCTAGCAGGATCCTGGCCATGTAAAGGGAGATTCCTGGAACCAGGCATCCCAGTTTGGGGCTCTGGACTACAAGGGGTGGACAGGATTACCATAGGTGCCAGCATCTTGGATTATGGTTACACAGTGTTTCCGCTCTAACTTGTGTCAGGGGACACCTAAGAGGATGGAAAATAACAGAAAGGGGCCCAGAGATTCTGGGAAGGAAATACCAATCAACGTTCCATGCAGAAACCATATGAGAGTACCTGTAGTGAGGAGGGATGGTGATCAGGCTGGCCATGTGGCTATACTCATAACCTTCATGTGTGTGTGTGTGGGGGGGGGGGGGCGAGGAGATAGATCTCAGCAGGCTCCACCCCCTAATGGGAGCTCTCAGAAGCAGACAGCTGGTATGAGAGACCACCTCTTTGACCTACATAAGCCCAGGTCTGCATAAAACAAGGAGTTCTGGCCAAGCAATGGTGGCTCAGGGACATGCTCAGGGACAACACTCAAGCTCTTAGTTCAAGCCCCAGGACTGGAATAAGCAAAAGCAAAAACAAAAACAAGGAGTTCTGTACTCTGTACAGATGGAGAGCCCCCTCATGGAAGGTAGTTTGGAGGTTAGTTTAGACAACTTCAGAGAGACCAGGTTTGGGATGGATCTCCTACTCTCTGTGCATTTTGTTCCTTTTGTCTAGGGATGGTCCTGAAGAAGGCCAATGTGGGTTCCAGGAAATTAAAAAGTGATACTGTATTTGTTCTTTGTTTTAGTGGCCAAACTCATGCAAAGAACACACAGATAACACTTAGAGTAATGACTCCAGAAAGAAAAATCTTTGGCCACTTCACTCTCCTCTTCCTTCTTTTGAAAAACGGACATTATACTTTAATCTGCCAGGAACAAAATGCTCTAAAACCAAGATTCTCCTCTGAGCCAAACTGCTGTCTTTTTGAGTATGTACAGGCAATTTACAAATTATGTATCTTTTTCTAAGTCATTTAAATTCAGAGGAGAAAGAGGCTTTGTTGCTAAGGTGGTGAAGTTTATGGCTCTGACACAGATCTTCCTGTGTGCAACAGACACATGTACACACAGGGCTGCTGCCATACCCGTTCTAACCCACATGTCTGCTCATATTTATGTGCTCATGGACTGAACCGAAAATACGCAGTACAGGTGCATACACTGGAGATGATACCCCAACAAACACCAGTGTGGGAGGCACTTGCACACTGCAGGACTCTGCCTGAGGCCATGTGTTGAGGAGGCAGGCACCTCAGGGACTCAGAAGGGGCTCTAGTTCTGGCATTCTTCCTGAAGGGAGGAGGAGGGACTGCCAGTTTCTCAGTGGGGGAATCGACTATACAAGCCCCTGCTGGCTCACAACACACATATCCAACTGTGGCTCATAAGGAGAGATTCCCTACAGTTGCAATGTCTTCCTTTCACTATCCTGGCCTTGCAGTGCAGTTTCTGCCAGAGGAATGACAGACCTACCTTTGAGTTCATTGATGTTGATTTAATTTGTAAGATGAGGAACAAGAAAGCCGAGAGGGCATTTTCCTGCTTTGCTTTGGAGTAGATGACTTTCAAGGAATTATGGATCGAGAGCTAAGTGAGATGCAAGGGTGAGCTGTAAGATGGCACATGAGCCAAGTGTGTGCACGCACTGTATGAGGCATGCTGCTGCTCATGGCACAGGTAACCTGAAGCCTGGCTATGTCCAGACACTGCCCTGCCTTTGGGTAGGAAGAAGAGGCTTTACATCAGCACCCCAGCACCCAAGCAGGAAAGTATGGAGGAAAAGAAAAGATGATAGGAGGTGTGCATGGTGAAAGCACAAAAACTGGTAGAATTGGGGCTGGGAAGGTGGCTCCATGGTAGAGTGCTTGCCTTGCATGCATGAGGCCCTGGGTTCGATTCCTCAGCTCCACATCAGTAGAAAAAGCCAGAAATGGTGCTGTGGCTCGAGTGGTAGAGCACTAACTAGCCTTGAGCTGAAGAGCTGAGGGACAGGGCCCAGGCCCAGAGTTCAGGCCCCACAACTGACTGGATAGATGGATAGATAGATAGATAGATAGAATTAGCCGTTGTCAAATTTAAGAACTCTTGTGTTACATTTCCACATCAAGAACAATGGTGTGGGGTCAAGGGGTAACTTTGCCAATGCTGAGGACAAAAGTTATCCTGAGAATGTCAGACGATTCTTACGGAGAAGGGAAGGGTCAGCAGATGCTATACAGGCCAGCTGCTGGCTCCAGAGTCCCCTCCCTGGAAAGTTCCCAAGGAGGCCCTTAGTTGTTACTGGGCACAGCCACAGTCCCAGCACTGCTAATCCCCAGCCATGAGAGCCGTGACAGAGGGCAAATGACTGCTTTCACCCTCACCACTGGGATGGAAGGAAGGATAGGGAGGAAATCTATGGAACAAGTAGACACTAGGTGGAACTGGCTTGGGTCAGTGTGTAGGGCTTCTGGAACAGAGCACCATCCTTGGAATTTCTGGTCCTAATAATGTCTAAGGGTAAATTCTTTAAGCTTCTACCTCTTTGTCCATTTTTTGTGGGCAGCCGTCCCAGCAGCAAAGTCTCTAAATGCCTTGCGAATCCCAAGTGACAGCAGAAGGATAAACACCAAGGACAGTTATTTATATAGCATTGGCTTCTGGGTCCTGGCCAAGTTCTCAAATGAAAGTTTCAATAAAATGCCTGAACTGAACAGAACGAATAATGGTTGAAGCTTCTGCCAATGCTATCCTGCCAGAAGCCCAGGAATCCCAGCAATTGCCCAGCTTGTCACTTTCTCTTTATCTGGGGACACCTACAGCCAGCTGAACAGGTAGGCCTTGCCCACATGCCAAACTGGTGGGCTTCTTTCATGTGGCTTCAACTCTGGCATCTTCCTCCTAGAGAGGTACACACAGCATAACAAGAGCTGGATCTGCAGAGCCTCAGTGAGATGCAGGACACAAGCACCATTTAGGCAGATGAAGCTCAGGATCACCCACCTCCTACTTCTTTCTCCCAGCTTAAGTATGTGCAGAGAAATGTTCCAAGAGACGTGTGTAGACCCTGACACCTCAGTGGTCACCTACAAGGTCCTATAAACAAAGTGATGAGGCATTCCTTCTCTTGGAGCCTGCTTCTGCCTGAGCTGCATGAGGGCTCCAGTGCTTACTGACTCACTTCCAATCCTGCTCACTCTGGAGGATCAGATTTCCTTCTGAACTGCTGTCAAGGGAGGAGAAAAAAAGTTTAGCCCCTGGAATTTTCTACAACCAGCCTCTGTCATTAAGGCATATAACTTTGAGCCTAGAGAAACAACCTGAGGTTACACAGGCAGCCTAGTGATGTACTACAGAGGGTTATCTAGTCCAGCTCCAATTGCATAGCCAGAATCTAAGAGGAACCTTCTTGTGTATGATCCTATGAACCTATGTAAGGCCAAGGGAGAAGGCCCCTTGAACTCCATCTATACTCGCTTGGCTGTTGGAGATGGACAGCTTGCTTGATCTGTGCTGACATTTCCCACTTCATTCAGAGGAAAGAAGGGTAAGAAGTGAATCCCAAGAGGTGATTAAAAAAAATACAAACCCAGTATCCACATTCTCTTCCTCTAATGATGATAATGATATATGGTCACTGTGGAAAGTTTGCAAAATGCAAAGGAGCGTAACCAGGGAGATAGAAATGACTTGTAAGCACATAAAGCATTGACTTTTTTTTTTTTTTTTGGTGGTGCTGTCCTTGAGCTCTTCAGCTCAAAGCTAGTGCTCTAACACTTGAGCCACAGCACTACTTCCAAGCATTGACTTTTTGTATGTCAAGGCCCAGTGTCTTCTTCCAAGGCTCTGTTCTTGGCCAAATACAGCAGGAATAGCTAGATTGACCCCACACTTGTGTCTAGACTCGAAGTCTTTGACATAAACAGGAAATGGAAGATGACTCAACGGTAAATGATAACTTCCCAGAGGTGGCCTTTACCCACTGCCCAGCTGGAACCTCCTGACATGTCTCAGTGCTGTTACAGAGTGGCCATTCCTCTAGGAAGCTGTGTACACATTCCCCAAGCCTCAAGAGTTGACTGGTAACATCATGTCTACTGTGCTCATTAGCATATCTGAGGGAGGAGGGAGTGAATTCCTCCCCCAGGGAAGCTAGGCAGCCAC